CCAATCCATTCTCCATATAGAAGTCAAAACAAAATTTTAAAAAGCAAACGGAACACTCTCTTACTTGACATCCTTCCATGGTGTTCCACTGCTGAAGGCCTTGATAGGCCCATTGGCTGCTTTTGCTACTATCCTCCTTGAATTCTGTAACCGAGCCATGTGAGGCTTGGGGGTTATAGCGATGAACAAGGCAGAGTCCCCGTCCGACCTCGGCAATGATGTTCCCTTTCTTGTTGGAGGTCAAGAGGGCAGAAGACTAATATCAATTGAGAGCAAGTTATGGGCTGGGCACTGTACATCCATTATCTTAGTGAACCCTCACCACAAGATTCCAAGGTAGCATCAGTTTCCATTATGTAGATAACTCACTTAAGGCCCAGAGACATTAAATAATTTGCTGAAGGTGCTACAACCAGTAAGTGGCGGTGCCAGGGTTGACATGTTCCATTTGGCTCTCAAGAAATGTTCTTCCTACTACCCCACACAGACTGGTCACTTCACAAAAAGATGGATTCTACCCAGGCACTGCCCACTCACCTTTGATTGCAGCCCAGTGAAGTGGAGTTCGGTCATTCCAGTCCACATCCTTGTAGTTTGGGTCACAGAGACCTTTCTTCAACATCTTTTTCACGAAACTGTAATCCCCAACAGCCACAGCTTGGTGGAGCTTTGTCATGTCTGACATTTTGGTCGATTCCATGACTGAAATAATGGGGGGAGGGGCGGGGGGAACATGCCCTTTAGGAAGTTCTCTACAGCTCTTTCTTCTCAGTAAGTGATTCCACGGGATTCTTTACCATTTACTTTCTTTCTCAGCTCACAAATTTGCATGTGTGTGCGTTGCTGAGGGTGTATTTGGATCTCAGCCACCATGGTTAGTACATGCCAGTCCCTTACCTAAAATCTATCGACGCTCCCCTCTGCCTCCAGGCATACAGGCTGAATTCATGGGCTGGCATTTTCTATTTGGCCTCAAACCACTTTCCAGTGCTATCTCCAGTTCCCGTTCCAAAGGGCTGGTAGTGCGATTCTGAATTAGTTGTGTGATTCTGCGCCTTGGCTTTCTCATCTATAACCTGGAGACAACTTGCCGGAGTTGTTGTGAGGGTACAATAACAATCTACGTGAAAAGTCTACTGACTGAATGCAGAGAAGGGACTCCAGAGAAAGTTAATACTATTGGCACACCAATTCAGATGGAGTAGATGTAAACATGCAAACAACACAGCTACAAGTTATCTACAACATCAATGCAGAAACCGACAGTTCTCAAACTATAGTCTACAGATGCTTAGGAATCTCTAGGACTCTTTCAGGGGATGCATGAAGTCAAAACTATTTTCATTCTAATGTGAAAATGCCATTGGCCTTGTTCACTGTGCCGACATTTGCCCTGAGGGTTGAAAAGCAATGAGGTACAAAGCTGCTGTTGCCTCAGCATGAAGCCAGGCAGTGGCATCACACACGTAGAGTCAAAAACAAACGAAAAGGGGGGGCACCTGGGTGGCTCAGACGGTTAAGCGTCCGACTTCAGCTCAGGTCATGATCTCACAGTTCGTGAGTTCGAGCCCCGCGTCGGCTCTGTGCTGACAGCTCGGAGCCTGGAGCTGCTTCAGATTCTGTGTCTCCCTCTTTCTCTGCCCTTCCCCTGTTCATGCTCTGTCTCTGTCTCAAAAATAAATAAATATTAAAAAAAAAAAAAACCAAAAAAACGAAAAGGTAGTTTCAACCAAGAAACTAAAGTAGTAAGAACTATGCATGTTGACCCTTAATTGCATGACTTCACAAAAGTTATTTTAAAAGATTCTGTAACAAAATGTGTCAACATTTGGGAAGTCTGCATAACTCCCTGAACTGATGTCTTCCAAATGACAAGTGGATGATGTTACAAAATCATGCATGGGTAAAGAGACCCATTCAAGATAGACCTGTGGATTTTAGTGAGACAGAGGACAAAAAATACACTGAGGTTGTTTCAGATTCCAAGTCACTAAAAAGCACAGCCATGTGTCAGTTTGGGCATAGTATCAGAGAATATCCGCAGTTATCTGAAAAGGCCACAAAATACTCTTCCCTTTTCCAATATATGTAGAACCAGATTTTCTTTCAATATTTCAGCCAAAACAACAAACTGAATACAGAAGATCTAAGAACCCACCTATCTTCTATTAAGCCACATATTATAGGGATTCAACTACATAAACACATACATACATACATACATACATACATACATACATAAACAATGTTACTCTTCCCATTTCTTTTGCTTTAGAAAATGTAATTATTTTTCATAAAAATATTTTTGTTATTGTATATTAGGCTTATTATGATTTTTGTAAGTGACTTAATAAACATTTACATTTTTTCTCAGTTTTAATTTCTAATAAGGTAAATAATAAGGTAACGGAGTCCTGAGACCAACAAGTTTGGGAATTACAGATATAAACAAAATAAGGATTGGGATAGACATTTTTTAAATGTTTACTTATTTTTGAGAGAGAGAGAGAGAGAGAGGCAGACTACAAGTGGGGAAGGGGCAGAGAGAGAGGGAGACACAGAATCCGAAGCAGGCTCCAGGCTCTGAGCCGTCAGCACAGAGCCTGACACGGGGCTCAAACCCACAAACTGTGAGATCATGACTTGAGCCGAAGTCGGACGCTTAGCCATCTGGGCCACCCAGGCGCCCCAGGGGTTGGGATGGAATTAAAGAATGAGGAGAGAGCCACTTGCGGTGGGGCCAGCGAGAATGTCTCTTTGATCCCAACATTTCAGTTGAGATCTCAAGAAGAATTTGGAGTCAGCCAGACACACTGTGGCCCAGCAGCAGCAGCACCTAGGAATTTATTAGAACGGTGAATTATTGAGCCTCATATCAGACCTCCTGATGTAGACGGAAATATGAGGACAGCCCTAGAGGGGGAGAGAAGTGCGTAACATAATTAACATGCAATGTCCTAAATGTTATAATGGCAGTGATTTTTCTGGGGACAGAAGGAAAGGACATTTCCCCAGGACTAGGAAGTGAAAGGGACTTTTTTCCAAAAGTGACCTAAGCCGAGTCCCAAAAGGATGAGTAAGAGTCTTCTCGGGCATGGCCGTAGTGGAAGATCCAGCCCAGGCAACAGCGCATCTGGAGTGGGGAGGGAGGCACATTCTGCAAAGAGCAAGTGGCTCTAACTTTGACGTACAGACCAAGGATCCACAAATGTTTCCAATAAAGGGCTGGATAGGAAACTTCTTAGCCTTTATAGGCCAAGAGGCAAAACTCAAGGCTATTATTTAACGTTACCTAACTATTATGCAACAAGAGAAAACCTCTTGCCAGAGGCGGGCCATCCTGGGAGGGGAAGGATCTGTGGTGGTGGGTGAGCGTCCTTTGTGCCCAGTCACGCTCAGCTGGAGACATTCTCAGGGCCAAGAGCAACCAGCCCGGGGAGGAGGGGTCTGGCTGAAAGGATGGTCACTTGCCCTTTACTCCAGTGATGCCCAGATCCCAGCATGCCCTCTCTCCTCTCCAACAGCCCAATCAGTTCAAGTTGACAGCTGGTGGGAGGCAAGGTAACTTGGCTGGACCATTCCTATTGCTCACTGCCGACAGCAGAGTCCCCAAAGTGTAGGCGCTGACCAGCAGGGTCCTGGGCAGGGACTAGGCACAGCCGTGAGCTCAGCGGACAAGTGCTAAGAGCAGACTAGGGAGCAGTTAGCTCTCCAAAGCTCACCGTGCTTGACCCCCGAGAGCCACCATCATAAGTGGTGACCGCATGCCTGAAAACATGGAGCGAGCCACACTTGGCCCGTAGACCGTAGTTTACCAACCTCTGGTCCATATAAAGCATCTGGGATCTTGTTAAAATGCAGATTCTGATTCAGTAGGTCTAGGAGGAGACCTGAGAGCCTGCATTTGTAGCAAGTCAACACGACAACTACCAGTTCATAGACCGCACTGAGTAGCAATGTCTCTGGCTACATGGCAGGGGAGAGACTTGAAGTAAGGGAGAAGCAGTAAGGATGCAGCTGTTTTTCCTCACTGAAGGACTACGTGAAAATTACTGGTGAGTTTTAAAAAATAGATGCCCGGGCCTCGGCCTGAAGTGCTTCAGAGTCATTAGATGTGTCGGACAAGGACGTGCCTTTTTGCATGAAGTGAGCGCTCAGTATATGTTAGGTAAGAGAAGATGGCATGGGATGTGTTTCCTCTTTTTGGCTTGTTTTAGTAAGAAAACCCTTACACCAGAGGATTTGATCGATGATAAATCAAATAGTGAACAAGTGCTGGAGGCTTTCCGACCTGCAGGTGTCACAAAAACCAAACCATTTTTAGAATCAGTTGTCTGGAAGCCTCTGCTTACATTTCACGCCAACCTTTAACCAGGTTTGGGCTTAAATCAACTCCATCGGGGTCGCGTTTGTGTTCATACCAAGGAAATTCCACAACTTCCCACAGAGAAGCTGCAATTCAAGTAGAAGTTTCCAATGAGTAGCTACATTTATTTGCAGAGAAATTGATGAAGTGATCCTAAAACTTCATATGGAAATACAAAGGGCTCAGAATAGGCCAAACCATCTTGCAAAAGACCACAGTAGGAGGACTCAAACTTCCCGATTTCTAAACTTACTATAAAGATACAGTAACCAAAAAAGTGTGATACAAAGTACACTGTGTGGCATAGAAATAGATACAGAGAGAGAAAAGGGACAGAATTGGGAGTCCAGAAATAAACGCTTACATTATGGTCATTTGGTTTTCAGCAAAGGTGCCAGGAAAATCATAGTCTTTCCAAATGGTGCTGACACAGTTGGGTCACAGTGACACAGAGACACTGACACAGTGAATGCTTGAGTATTCACATACTCAAGAATTCAGTTAATCCTTTCCCTCATGCCACACACGAAACTTAACTTAAAATGAATTGCAGACCTATAGAAGACCTAAAACTAAAACATTTAGAAGAAAACATGGGAGCAAATCTTCATTACTTTGGGTCAGACAATGAAACGGTTCACAGACAGGACGGCAAAAGCACAAGAAACAAAAGAGAACAAACAGATAAATTGAATTTTACCAAAATTAGAAACTTTTTTTCTACAAACAATACCTTAGGAAAAGTATAAAAGCACATATGGAATGGGAGAAAATATTTGAAAATTATATATCTGATAAGAGATTTGTATCCAGAATACAGAACTCTTACAATTCAACAACAACAAAAAAGCTCCATTAACAATCGTCAAGGAATATAAACAGAAGTTTCTCCAGAAGAATAGGCACATGAAGATACGCACAAAATAATAAGCACCTGAAAAAAATGCTCAACATCATTAGTCACGAAGGAAATGCAAATGAAAACCATACTGAAGCACCACTCACCCCCTCTAGAATAACTGTAATCAAAAAGACAGACAATGTCAAGTGTCACTGAGGCTGTGGGGAAATTGAACCCCTCACAGATGTGGTAGGGATATAAAATGGGGCAGCTGCTTTGGAAGACAGTTTGGCAGTGCTTCAAAAAGTTAAACATAGACTTATCATATGACCTGTAACTCCACACTTAGCTATGTACCTACAGAAATGAAAATATATATCCACCCAAAAACTTGTTACACGCACGTTTCCAGCAGCATTATTCATAATAGCCAAGAGTGGAAACAACGCAAATGTCCCTTAGTAGGTGAATGCATGAA